CGTCAGCGTGTCGTCAGAGTGACGTTAGCGTGTCGTCAGAGTGACGTTAGCGTGTCGTCAGAGTGACGTTAGTGTGGTGTTAGTGTGTCGTCAGAGTGACGTTAGCGTGGTGTTAGCGTGACGTTACCTGGATGGCGTCGGTGACCAGACAGCAGATGAAGTCCATGAAGCTCAGGTCTGTGTAGCAGTGAGTGATCAGAGTTCCTCTGGACAGCGGCACGCCAGCTTTCTGAGGACACAGCAGCACAGCGTTCACACATAATAACATTTATAATCACATTTCTATATTCACGACAGTGGGAGTGGGCAGCGGGGTCAGAGGTCAGACCTGCAGGCCCTGCAGCCAGTTCCAGCGGTTGGTGGCGTCTTTGATCTTCAGTAGCTGCAGGACTCTGACGAACACGTTGGTGTCGTGATACGGCAGCGCGCAGGACAACAAGCTGTCGCTGTTATACAGCTGGATGTGGAAGCTGCAACACAACGACACACAACTAACATGTACTGTGTGCGACACCAGCAGGACACCTGAACGCACTCTGAGCAATGTTTACAGAAAACAAAGTGTTGAATGTTGAATGTGGTCAAAACACAAGCAGATTTTAAATAGTCTCGCTGCGTTTGTTTACATACAAGAATAATAAAGAAATGTGGATTCGTTTCTTAATGAATTAACTTTTTTCTCATAAAATAATGAAAAAGAACCAATACGAGTATCGATAAGAGGACTCGTGTCTATGGAACCCTAAAGATACCCGTCTGTGCGTTGGACACAGGTTTGGAGTTTCAGCACCAGACCGGTAACAGAGAGGTGGCAGAATCAGACTTCAGGAAGCGTACCGGTGGACCAGCCACTCCATGCACTTGTGCGCCGGTTTGAGGAGGAAGTACGGGGAGAGGCGGGTGAGGAAGAGCGAGATGCCGGCGTCCAGCTTCTCGTTAACCTCTTTGGACTGAACGCTGCGCTCCAGGGTCAGCGAGGCCCGGCTGAACAGGGTGTCCTGGAACTCCAGGAAGGCCGGTTCGATTCCCAGCAGCTCCTCCAGCCCTGTGCAGCCTGGAGGGAGGGAGGGGAGGGGGGGTTAATCGTGATGAAGGAGTAACCTGCTGGTCTCTGGTGGTCATTTGAGACCCAGACCAGGACTCACCGAGGGCGTAGAAGGTGCTTCTGTCCATGGAAGCAGCATCTTTGGGGTCGAAGAGGAGCGAGGCGACCTCTCTGTGCGTCAGCAGGTTGGAGTCGCTCTGAGGCAGTGCGAGCCTCTTCAGCTGGTGGGCCAACGACGTCATGGTGGTCTCAGTCTGAGGACACAGACACCGAGATAAACACGATGTAACCTCAGCTCCCTGTCCTGAAGCAAAGAGAAGCGGCTTCAATGAAGGAGCCAAACCTTCAGTCTGACACGTTGGTCACACCACACAGAACAAGAACAGAAAAGCATTTCATGCGTCATTATCTAAACATGCTTTGGCCAAAGTGAAAAAGTGGATCTTTAGTGTTAAGATAAAGTCTGAACTCGTTCAGTGGAGAGAGAACACTTTATGATATATATATATATATATGTATGTATGTACATCATGTTGTTGTCTTTGTTGTTAGCACTTGACATTGTAGTCTAAGAGTCTCCTGAATGATGATACTACTTGTATTAATATTATTCCATTGTTTCTGCAGCTTTGTAAAGCTTAACTAACTAACTGTTTTTAGGTTTACTTTGTAACACCTAACTCTGGAGCATTACATCAATGTGTTTATGAATTGTGTCCCTCATCAAATAAACCATTAAATAAAAATAACGACGTTTAG